GTGATCCCTCATCTATCACAAACTATAGACCTATCTCCATCTTGCCGGTTCTAAGCAAAATATTCGAAACGATGATAAAAAATAGATTGCTTTCGTTTTTTGACAAACATAACATCATATCAAAACATCAATATGGGTTCATGAAGGGATGCTCTATTGTAAAAGCTGTTGCTAACATAGTCAGTGACATAGTAGAAGGTTTAAATGAGGGGCTTGATTCGCAAATTACCTTGTGTGATCTAAGCAAAGCTTTTGATTGTGTAAACCACAATATTCTGTTGGGTAAACTATCTAAATATGGCGTCAGAGGTAAACCTCTTGAGTTGTTGGTAAGTTATCTTACTAACAGAACGCAGTGTGTCATCGTAAACAGTGAACAATCAACTTTTCTTAAAATTAAGCATGGCGTACCACAAGGTTCAATTTTGAGACCATTTCTTTTTACAGTATATATAAATGATCTTCCCGATGCATTGGCACCATCAATGAGTACCCTGTTTGCTGATGACACTAGCGTCTTAAATAGAGGTCATAACCATGAGGACCTTCTACAAAAGAGTAGATGTGCCATAGAAAAAGCCACATGTTTACAACAAACATGCTTAAGCTAAACACAGATAAAACACAATATCTATTAGTGTCTTCGAATTTGCGAAAGCGGAAGGGTGACTCGGTAATATTGCTTGGTATACGAATAGATGATGGGTTAACCTGGTATCAACAGGTAAATGATCTTTCAAAAAAATTATCATCATGTATCTATCTAATAAGAAGGACCAAAAGGTGCTTGCACCATAATCTATTAATTACTGCATATTACTTGCTCTTTCATTTTCACATGACCTATGGGGTTGCTCTTTGGGGTGGCTCTTCATATACCATCAAGATATTCAAATTGCAAAAACGAGCACTAAGAATAATAGGCAATGCAGAACATAGGGATTCTTGTCTTGTCTTGTTCAAAAGCTTGGAAATTTTGACGCTACCGTGTGTATTTATGATTTCTCAATTATTGGAGATACAAGAGTTGAAAAATAATTTTGTTGCACATGCACAAATCCACTTACATAACACAAGGACCAAAAATCAAATGGTGCCACCTAAACGTAAATTAGAGATCACAAATAAAAATACACGTAACATACATCTATATAACAAAGTTCCCACTGAGTGGAAAACATTGAAACAGTCTAGAGTTAAACAAAAAATTGGTCTAAAGAGTTTAGACAGTACTTCCCTCGCTGTCGGAAACTTGACGACTGCATGCCTATTGTGTTTTTTTTTCTCATTACATTTTTGTAGTGGGAATTTAAAAAAAAAATGTGATGACGTCATCAACATTTTTGCAAGGACACGTATATCAGTTGGGATAGATGTAGTGTAATACTAAGAATAAAATTATTGTATTCCCAAATTTTCGGGAAAATGAATTGGGTCGTTTTGAATATTGATTTCTTATAATCAATAAAATAACGAAACAATTTACTCACGTATACGTATCAGAGGCAACTGAAAATCGTGTATGTATAAACATTCTTAATTTAAGATGACAGGCGTAACAGCATACGTGAGAGTCAAACAGAGAAACTGTAAACAAAACGACCATCGGTTTTATTGCTTCGACTTCCGCTTATTATATAAAACATTGGGTTTTATTTTAATTCTTGACGGTGAAATTCACAATTGGTTGATTATAAACATGTCTATTCCACATTCGCGGAACCAAGTGAGCGCACAAAACAAATGCAGGTCTGTAATGTTAAAGTCGATGTAAATAAGCGTGCTACCCTTATGTTTCAACCGAGTTTTTCCTTTAACAAATTTTGTGTCTACCAAATTGGGTTGGTTGGGGTGTAATACTAATAATAAGTGTTGCCTTTAATTTAATCAATAAAATAAATTGACTTCATTAATTTTTTTGAACCACCTCTTAAGAAAATCTAAAAAATATGAATGGAATGATAAATCACAAGTACAAACTCATCATATTTTTTGCATTTTAGATAGGATTTATTCAGCAAAATTTAAGGGTGACGTCATCAATTTTTTTAGGAGGGATGGACAAATACATTTTGAACAAAAGTTTACCATGCTTATAATAACTTTAAAATATTCCCAAGATTTCAAAGCATTCGGTTTTGTAATTCCTGATTAAATCGATAAAATAAATTCACGCATTCATTAATTTTTTTGAGTCACCCTGCATATGCAAATCCAAAAATATGAATGGAATGATAAATCACAAATACAGACTCATCATATTTTGTACATTTTAGATACGATTTATTCGACAAACTTTTGAGCTGACGTCATCAGTTTTTTGTAGAAGATAACCAAATATATTTTGAGTAAAAATTTATTATGCTCTTTATAACCTTAAAACACCTGCAAGATTTCAAAGCATTCGGTTTTGTAGTTCCTGATTAAATCAATAAAATAAATTTACGCATTCATTAATTTTTTTGAGTCACCCTGTATATGCAAATCCAAAAAATATTAATGGAGTGATAGATCACAAGTACAGACTCATCATATTTTGTACATTTTAGATATGATTTATTCCACAAACTTTTGAGCTGACGTCATCAAGTTTTTGGAGGGGATAAGCAAATATTTTTTGACTATAGATTTATGATGCTGTTTATAGCCTTAAAACATCTGCAACATTTCAAAGCATTCTGGTTAGCAGATTAAAAATTAAATTTCAAAATGTTGTTTTATAATTTTGATTTTTTTTCCAAAAATCTGGACGTTTCGGGTGAAAAGTCAATTCGGAGTTGTAAACTACATCTGTAGGACTATGTTATTTTATACAATTGAAAACCCATTTACTATGTACAATTTTGAAGTGACGTCATCGCATTAGTCGTGGGGATGATTAGACAAATTTTGGTTAGCGTTTTACCATCTACATGATATTCTTAATATAAGTACAAAATTTCACAACAATCGGTCGAGTACTTTCGGAGATTATCTGTCTAATAAAAATCCGGGGGCAGACGGACAGACGGACAGACGGACAGACGGACAGACGGACAGACAGACGGAAATGGGAGACCTATTTCTTCGTCTTCTAGGGGTCATGAAAGATCGAGAAAACGTAAAAGTAGAGAGTCGGCCGACGGACTCGATTACAATACTTCCTTTGCTTACGCTCGGGAAGTAAAAATAGTTCAATATATGAAAGAAGGGGCTTTCTACACTACAAAAGAATTTGTTGATAGTCTACGTTGATTGTATTTTATTGTATTGGTGCCATATATGTGAAATTGTATGTATGACAAAGAAGTCATAACCTATTCTGTACAAGACAGAAAAGTGTTGCATTAAATCTTTTTTATTGACAAATGCATGTACTAATGTATAAAGCATGAAATAAACATCTTATCTTATCTTATCATCTACAACACAGAAGACCCACCATCATCAGCGGACATATACACTCTCATATCATCAGGCACACAGACAACCCGGCCCTCTCTTGCATACGGTTCCTGCAACAACGCCACCCTTATATCATTCTCTCTCATACATACCCCTATGTTACATATCACACTATAACAACCCTGACAATTTGCTTGCAGGATTTTAAGGCCCATAAATAAAATTCCTGACAGCACTTAGCTGCTATACAAATATCGGGCACGTACTGGAAAACGCCGTTTGGCCAATTCCTACAATCTACCTACACTGGTCGATCGTCGCCTTACATTGTTTCCCCACATATCCCTGTTCCCAATATTTCCTGCAACCCTTATTTCTGATCTTACAATCAAACACACCATGACCGTATCCATAACAGTTATAACACCTCAACACATCAACCCAATCTTTCCATTTGAACGAATGCCAGCCCGCATACACCCTACCCTGGTCCAAAAATACCTCCCTAACTTTATCCGTAACCTCAATCACAACATTTTCGAATTTTTGACTTACCTTACCTATTCCTGCTTGCCCGATCCTCGTCCCAACAATCCTAACACTATCCCCAAACTGTTCCTCGACCATCTTCCCCACGAAATTTTTCCGATATATTCTTAGGATCCCTCTAGACCATAACAGAGTACGTTTTCTTCCTTCTTGGCACTTCCTTACTACACTGCCCAGATCTAGCATCTTCGGCAACTCCAGCGCACGTCTTCCTATCCGTCGGTTCCAGTTCTCTAATCCTTTCCTTCATAAAACTATTCTCAACCGCTAGCACCAATGCTATGGTCTCCATCTTGCCTTAAAATCCCAACACCTGGTCAATCACCCCCTTGCCAACTCTATTCGACTCCAAAAATAGGCACGCCCGCAAGGACCCCTCTATCTCCTTTACCCTTTATGTCACAGTTTCCCCCATCTTCTCCTCATGCAGCATTCTTGCCTCTTCCTTCAAACCCCTCTCGACCGGAACAGTTTCCTATATTCCCAACCAAAATTATTCTAAAGTCCCCAAATCAAAACCCCCCCAACCTATTCCTGACTCCCCCATCGGTTTATTTCTATCCACGGATTTTCCTTCCCTCAGAATTCCCGAAGAATCCTCGAAAAAGTCCCGACTCGCACACTACACCACTTCTAACACCGCAGAGCACCGAAAACACTTCCGACACGTTCGACATCCAGATCTTAAGACAGAAAAATTATTCAAATCTTTGTGTTTTAAAATTTTTTTAAATAATCTACACCAACATGCAAATATTACTTGTGTTGATTCATCAAATACCCAATAAAACAAACAGGTTGAAATTTAACATTATTTATTATTTACACAAATATTTGCAGGTATTTAAATGTTGTTCAGTTGTACTTCTCTTTGTTAAACCAATTAATAATTGACTAACTATGTACTTTTCCACACTACGCATCTGGATTACATTAAAAGAAAAAGATCTTTGGACACTGACCAAGGTGATGAGGCAAAATCATCAATTCTTTTAAATTCTAAAAAACTCAAACTCCACAAAGCATAACATTAAGGTCATTTTCAATGGTTTATTCTTTTGTTTCAGATAAAAATAATATGTCACATAACTCTACTGAAGTAGAAATAGCAGAGCCACAGAATGAAGAAAAGTATCGCGACAATGAGCAACAGGTAAGAAGCAACAAGTACTTATTATATCATATGGCAGATATTCCAGTAATTTTATAAATTCCGCTGAAAAGTATTTTTAATGACAAAAATACACATACTTAAAAATGTGCATTTATTTTAAATAATTATCTACCATACAAATGTTAAAAGCGAGATTTTATTTTGAGAGTGTGGAAACATACGAACGAGATAAAATCACTTTTAACGTGAATATTTACACTATTTTTTATACAAACGCTGAAGAAGCAACGAAAACGCTTAATTATTATTCATTGTTACAAACGAAATGAATAACATGTGAACAAATTCATAGAAACTTTCAGTTTGTTTTTAGTTACAAACAAAACTTTGCATAAATGTTTAAAAGCATCAATTATTTTAAACATCAGTTTTATAAAGTGATACTGTTAGCGTTTCATGACATACGTCACAAATCCTACTACCAGATTTAAAAAAATATATACTGCTTGAACACTGTTGAATAATGTATTCATTGCGGGATAGTTATATTAAGGCCTTTTCTAACTCTTTAGCAGCAATTAAATAAGAATTTGACACAAAGTTTAAGAAAAAGTGCTAACTAATAAATTTGTTATACAGGGTGTTCATTTTATCTGTTCAGGCCTGAGTATTTCTGCATAGGCACCCCTTTTCCGTTTCATAAACAGCCTTGATTAATTTTTATTTTTACATAATAATGAACGCACAGATAGCAATGATCAGAACCAAAATTATGACAAATTATTTCCGTCAGCCAAATATTTTCAATTTTCGTTAACTTTGCATAGTATCCGAGCCTTAATTATTACCTTTCCAAGCTTGAGTTGGGACTATCTTAGTTCATTTGCATTTAGCACCTTTTTACTGATTTTTTTGTTGAAGCAAAATAATTTTCGGCGTTTTATATTTTAATGACAGAAGTCAGAAATATTGCAACTTGATAACTTAATTTCTAAATAATAACAAATGTGGCAAATTAGCCTCAAGTGTACGTCAGTCTCACACATTGACCCGTTTTCTCAATGAATCAGTTTATCCAAGAAGAAGAAAACAATTCATAGTTCACTTTTATCTAAAAATATCCTGAACGGTTTATAGAGTGAAATATCTCTAATAAAAATATACCAATAATACTCCGGGAATAAAATGCAACTCGGACGCTATTGTGAAATACTAAAAAAATGTCACGTTGTTCTAAAATCTCGTTTGTGACGACTGTTATCATCGTGACAAACTCATTACGATAAACCGTCCACTAATATTTGAAATTATTGACCTGTAGCAATTGGCATAATGAATTTGCTCTCGGTTGCTGTCAAACGCTACAGCCCTATGTCCTATATTTGTGCGAGAATTAATTCGTCCTCGTACAACTGGACCACAAAAATGTTTGTGTCTAAAATAAATGAGACATTTCCAGATTGTATTTTTATCTGTAAAATGAACTCAATCAAAGCGAGGAAAAACGTAAAATTCCGCAGTAAAGGCAAGATGGCATCTTTTACGAGAGTCCATGCAAGAGTATATTCAAGCATTAATGGGTTTGATTTAGAAAGTTAAGACACAGCTCATAAAAACTTTGGTGTAAAATTCAAATCTACTATACCCAGATTTACAGTGTAAGAACCCTTCAATAATGCTAAAGTTTAACTCTAGGAAAGAATTTTTAACTGTTGGTATAGAGATCAGCACATAATTTATATATTGTGATTAGTGTATTTTTTCTGTTCATATAGAAGTCGCTAAAACTTTATATTTGTATAAGTTATAACAAGTTAAAGTAACGCGAATATAAATTATACAATGTTTAACTTCAATTGCTTTGCGAAAACACAATATGCGCTTATCAAAATAAAGAATGTTGTTCTAAAGAATTTCAACGTATAGCCTCAACTCTAAAAAACGGAGATATTATAATCGTGAAAACGTGTGGGTTGTGCTAGTTGTGCTCTCTGGAGTTGGCGTATTTCAGTATTTTATTGGTGAAATAACTTCGAATTCTTAGATAGCCGTTTTGGTGTTCTGGTATTTAACTCTAGTGCGGGGTCAGCCGTTTTATTAATGACAATTTAGTCTGGACGTTGTCCGGTTTTGTATGACCTTTTATTTTTACCTAAATTTGTCTTGATGGTGATTTTTGTTTGGTACGACACACAAACTGCTCTAATATTTCTTAATTCAGACATAAAAATTATCGGTCACTGCAGACATTAAGTTCGTCTGTCATTTTCATTAAAATTGCTGCCACGTTTCCCGCCTTATTTCGATGTTGCTAGACCAACACAACATATACTATCAGTAGATAAGATATAAATTCAATAATAAATTATAAAACAATTTAAATAAAACTTCAGTTGCCCAGTTAACATTACTAGAAACATGTTCTCGTGGAACACAACAACATTTTGTGTTTTTTACTACGATAATTTTACAAATATATATGATTTTCACCGCAATAAATATGCGGTTGGATTCAGCAATCTTATTCACCAATCATCGACATAATTTAATTAGTAATTGTTTTTTCCCAAGAATCTCATTTTTTGTTTAAAATCTGCTACATAAAGATAAAATTTTATACATAGCAATGAAAAAGTTTTATCGACTCGAGAAAAACAAATCACTTCCGATGTTATCACTCCACTGCCACTTTTCGTTCATGCGAAAAATAAAATTTTATCGTATTATATAAAAATCGAGTACAGAGCTTAAGCGATCTTTTTTATTCCTATTGCATAAAAAATCCTTCCTGATATAATTTTGTTCAAAAGATATACCTACTGTTTTTTTTCTATAAAAGTTGTATATCCCCGAAGGTGTAAAGCTTGTGTCCCTGTTAATAATTTTTGTGAATATATTTGTTTATTTTGCCGATCACCTAAATACTATTTTCGTTAATAATCATGAGTAAATGTGGGAACTGTAGTGGAAATATTAGAACAAACGCTTCAACTATACAGTGTGATGCATGTCAGTCGTCTATTCATTTGTGGGTGGTGGACTAACAGAACAAGATATCACAGTCAATCGTTCCAAATCGAAAGCTTTCAAGCTAGTATGCAACTCTTGTTAACGTAATATGTCCTTCTTTAAAGATCTCAAAATGTTGATTACCGATCTTCGTGCTGAATTTACGTCATCCATAGAGAGCCTTAAACATGAGTTGGAAGAGCAAATCAACAGCGCTAAATCTATCATCAATCAACAGCCTCCAATGTCACAATCATTTGAAGACGTTGTTCAAGAAGTGTTAGAGCGACAAAAACGCAGTTCCAATATTATAGTTTTCAATGTACCTGAACATTCTAAATCCATACCTAGATCCAAACGTCTTAATAAGGACAAAAGATTTGTTTCCGAACTTTCTGTCGATCACGAGTATGACTATGCTAATTTTCATTGTCAGAGATTGGGCAAGTTCAATGCATCACGTATTACACCTATTAAAGTATTCTTAAACAGTGAACAAGATGTATCAAATATTATTCGAAAGGCTGAAAATCTGATTACTACCGAACAATACAAAGACATTCGTTTATCCTATGACCGTACCCCAAAGCAGTTAGATTTTTACAAACAACTCAAACAGGAGATGAATGACAGAATTAGACAAGGTGAAACTAATCTAAAAATTCGGTACTACAACGGCTCACCACGTATCGTTCGTTTAAACTAATTAATTCACCCAATTACCAACATCAGTCTCTATTATTCTACCAAAATGTACGAGGGTTACGTTCTAAAGTCAATATGTTTCATAGAAATATTTCTGTCTGCAACTTCGATTTCATAGCCTTATCAGAAACGTGGTTATTTGAGAGTATATCAAGCAATGAACTTTTCACACAAGATTATGTTGTCTTCCGTAAAGATAGAAATTATAATGTGCTGAATGCCTCAATGGGCGGTGGTGTTTTATTTGCTGCAAAAAATTTGCACACTTGCGTACAAGTAAACCTTTCTTCAATTACTGATGCACTGCCTACTATTGATATTATTTGTGTGAAAATTTCTTCGACTTATAAAAGCTTCTTCTATGTACTTGTAATCTATATTCCACCTTCCACTTCATCTGAAGAGTATGAACTGCTTTTAGATCTCTTAAGTAGTTTGGAAGAATTTCATAGTAATAAGGTATTCATCGTTGGAGATTTTAGTATTACACAATTTTCTGCAAATTCGAATGATCGGTTTTCATCAGTTTTAAACAATTTTGCGAGCTTCCTAAACTTATCTGAATTTAATCACATTCTTAATATCCTTAATCGTACTCTTGATCTTATTTTTAGTAATTCAACAATTCTTGTTTGTAAATCAGACAATCCTTTAGTTGATGAAGATCGTTACCATCCAGCATTGGAAATTCAGTGTCAAATTGAGGTAAAACCAATGAATAATTTCCAGATGAACCCGAATTCTAAACAGTTCAACTTTAAAAAAGCAAATTTTTTATATTTATATAATACTCTTTTAACCACAGACTGGTCGGCCATCTATAACTCAAATAATGTCAATGAGGCATGCTCTACTTTTTACGACATCTTATATAAAACATTTGAAGCTTCAGTTCCTACTTTTAAATTTAAAAAAAGTAATCGTCCAAACCAGTGGCGGCTCCTCAGAGGAGGCAGGGGAGGCTGAGCCTCCTCTGTTTTTTGGAGCTGAGCTTCCTCTAATTTTTTTCGATGAAAGAATTTATATTTTTGTAGACATTTGTTATTTTTCAGAATATTTTGCTGGATTTCATTTACTTTCATCATATATCAGGTTAAAATGTCGCAAAAATTTATATTTACGCCCTCACAATCATAATTCACATTCACACCACTCCGCGTTTGGTTTCAGCGGCAGAGGCTTGTTAGCCGCTAGCCTCCGCCGAGAATGCATCTTGCTATTGAGACCGTAGACCTTGACGCATCGTCAGTCTGTATTGCATTGGCTAAAACGTTCATCGGACTGACGCTCCAAGCCGCTAGCCTCCGGCCAGTTCATCTCTTTTC